AAACGGCCAGTTCGGAAACCGTACGGTACGCGGAAGCGGAGTGCCGCCTGACAATGCATAACAATGGTGCGAGCCTCAACCTGTACGCCTTTTTTGAGTAAAAATTCAATCAGACAAATTTAAATTCGCTTAGCCAGGCTTGCTGTAGTGGGGTATTGTTTTCATTACAAATAATAATATTATACAATTCTGTCTAAAACCTATAATAATATAAATGTATGTCAATACTTACTCGACAAGGTGTAATCTAATATTCGCTTTGATATCTCCTTTTGGCAAACTCTTGGGTGTCGGTAGAAGGTTGTTTAATTTATAGGCATTCTTCCATTTTGTATAACCTGTCCTCCAATTAAAAGTTTTCCTCCATTCAAGAGCTTCCACATTCAAACCTTGCAAATTGACTGAAAAAATGTCAAACATTTGTTACTTTAAATAATTGAATACGAAATCAACAAAAACAAAAACCCAGCTTATACAAACTGCTTAGTCATTGGGAATTAGCCATACAAACTGTTTATCCATAATTCAAAACAAACACACACACGCACACATTCACGCATACAATGAAACAATGATATTTACAACATATAAATATTTTCATCAATTAGTAAACACATAAAATAAAATACTTACTAAAAATCAATAATAGAAGAATCTGTTTCATTTTCCAACATGTACATCCATCCTAAAACATTTGGAACGTTGTTTCCATGAAGTGGAAAGCCAAACGAGTGATGTGTACCACGTCAGTACTAACACAAGGTTGCTGTTTTTGACGGCTTAATGACAGCAATAACTCAGATGTGAAACATTATAATTACATTGCCTCCACCTCTAGCAAAAATGGTTACCCAGCAAAATAAAATACTAGTTTTGCAAATATGAGTTGAGTGGATAGGAGGCTTGAGTAGAATTTACGTATCAGCTGAGATGATATAGGCAGAGATGACTATTTACCGATGACAGACGACTGTATCAAGTTAAAGGCTGAGATTACTTGAATAACGGCTGTCAATGATGTGAGTTGATGACTAGGGTATATGATTTGGTTGAATTATGCCAAAGGGTGTGGTGTTAATAGATTTTGAAACAAAATAAAGAATTTTGCTGTTTTTTATATATGTTATTTTTATAACAGACAGCTAATCTATACTTATACACACGAGGTGGTGCCCGTCTGTCTATCTGGGTGGCTGTCCCAGCCCGACTAAAGTACTTAGGTGATAAATCCAAAATTAATATAAACAAGGTCCAAATATCTAAGGATGTCTTAAGCCTATTCACTTCCATTTACCTGGTTGGTTTTTCACAACATTATTCAATTAAAATTGTCAGATTGTTTTCCATTTTAATAAGTGTTTGGTTTTGCTCGTACAGAAAAGGTAATACGATCAATTTATTACATTGAAATGCTGATTGGAACTAGGCAATAAACACTCTTGATAAATCTGATAAAAATATACTCATAAGCGAATTTTGCCTCTTAAAAATCTTATATACATATACCAACCATTCTGGTTCGCGAAATCGTTCTAAAAAACGTTGGTTTACATTTTTGTACAGAATTTTAATGGATCTTTTTACTCGAGTTATAGCGTATGAACTTGAATAAATGGTTCTTTAAGCCACCTGGTACGTTGAAACGAAAAAGTAAGTCGGTCCCGGTTCTAGGTATTACCATTATACCAACGGCAATAGCTTATTTCCAAATGGACAAATTGCTAGTACAAAAAAATAAATAAAACATCCCTAGGTAATTTTTGTACTCAATATTCATCTGACCATCGGTAAAAGTTTCACAAAATTACACTTAACCTGTGAGTAATTGTTGTCAATCGTCATAAAACACCTGCGTGGCAATGGCCTACTGTACATGTGTCGGTACACTTTACTAGTTCCAACTACTCTCTCACTTTGCTTTTTTTCATTTCAATGTAGGCAGCGTTAAAAAGATTGTAGAATCGATACACTTCTTGAAAATTTAAAATATACTTTTACTCATAATTTTTAGTAGTGTAAATAATTGAATTAATTCAGGTTTACTAATTATTTATCAATAATGTTGGTTCAAAAATAATGTAATAATTTATTCAAGATACAAATTCAAATATTCATGGATAGTCGAATCAATAAGACATGAAATAGTGTAACGTTTGAAAAAACCTTATAGCGATTTCCCACTAGCTATTACCTCTCATGATAAAACCTCAAACTGAACCCGATTTACTTTTTAAAATTTTGATGTCCCCAAAGGCATAAATACACCATACGTTTAAATTGGAATATATGTATGTACATGGTACATACATGGTATGAAATGGTACGAAACCCCCATTTCTGAATTAATTGCGGTTTACAAGTTATAGCAACTTTTGTGAGATCCCTTGCAAAATATGATAGTTACTCCCACCCCTAATTCACTATAAGGGTCGTTGACAAGCTAACGGTAGTATTTATTTTTAATTTAATATACACTTGACATCTGTTTCCAGAATTATTATTTTTTTTTCAATTGGCATAACAATGCGATAGACTGAGCCGCAATTGGTTTAGTTCATTTTGATCTATAATCCAATTTTACACCAACAGTTGTAAGGGCGTGGTGCAACTTTAATGTAACTTTATTTCAAAAACAGTAATGTAATAGTTAATGATTGTGTATCTTGCAATATATTGTCTAGGGGTTAGAAATAAATTAAGTATTTTTCAAAATCGTCAATATTTAAGTATCCTAAAAAGGGAAACCCGTTTTATAAAGTATATGACAGTTTCATCAGTAAAATTTTGGAATTTGCATTTCAAAATTAACATGGAAGTTGAAAAACATGAAAATGATATAAATTTGAAATAAAAACTTCACTTATATTTTTAGAATTTTCAATTTCATGAGGCCTTTTGCCAGCTATAGTTGATATAAAGTTGATATCATCAGACACATCACAAAACTAAAGAATAGGGTAGTAACTAAAGAGTGAGGCGAAAGGCCTCAAATTTCTAAAATATTGGTGAATATGATAAGAATATGATTTTTAAGTAGAAGCTTTTGTAACCAACACTATAGAAACAGGATGACGTTATTAATTCACTATTAATTGTTATGCCTATATTCAAGAGATGTATAATTCTATAGATTTCTAGGCCCACAACCATTCTAGTTATGTGATCCGTATACGGTTACATGGTTATATAGTGTAGGCTCGTCATTACCACATGATTGCATAGTGATATGCTGCAATATGCAATCTGTTTACCACTGGAATTGCTACACCTAATACCACTGCATACTAGGGTTGTATTCCATATTGCTCTCTTATAAGTAAATGGTACACAATATCATTGTGTAAAATACATAATTTTTCACAATCCATGAGGTTAAACATTAACTTTATCAGTAGTTTATCGTTCTTTGCCATATTACCTTACATTTCTAATTAATAAATACTAAGATAACTTTGTAATGAAAAAGGCTAAATCATGTAAGTAAATGTTCACTTATTTAATATCCATAAAACTATTTGGTTACTTTGGCAGAATTAATTGGTTGATGTCGAAAAAAATGTAATTGCTAAAAGAATTATGTAATAAAACTATACTCTGAACCATGAGTTTAAGTAACAGGTAAAAGATCTAATAAACGTTTATCACACTTAAATTTATGAAACTGAAAAGAGGTGAATGTATGGAATTTACAATAAAGTTGGTGACACTAAAGTGTTCTCGAGTAAAAAAAGATCCAGTTGTATGAAATTTTGCACAAATGCGCAAACCTATGTTTAACCAGCATGGTTGGAATATGTATGGGGAATGAGGTAAACTTGGCTTATCGATGTATCCTATTTTGCTAAAAACTTTTATTGCCTAGTATCTATCAGCATATAAATTAAATAAATAGATCTGTACTATAGATGAAACATATTCCCTTATTTGGTTATATTATGCTATTATCTTCCCTGTAGTAGCAAATCCAAGTACTTATTAACATTAATTAAAAAGGATATGTATCTGACAATTGTAAGGGAATGATTTTGTAGAAATCCTGCCATTGTGAATGGAAATTCGTTTAGTCCGCAGTTTTGCTGTTTCGAAGATATTTCTTTATAGATGTGAACCTATCATAGGTTATGGAATTAGCAGAATTAAAATGAAAATGACGGCATGATTTAACCCATGAAAACATATAACCTAGTTATAAACTCACATAATTGATAGGCAATATCCAGGTCATTTCACCTTTAAACTCGACACAGTTCTCTGTCATCGCTGAATAGTCGTCTCAGTCGTCTGCCTAAGTCATCTCAGCTGATACGTATTAATAAATTCTACTCAATAATAAATAAATAAATAATAAATTCTACTCAAGCCTTCTTGCCATAAAACTCATATACGGTGGCGACGTCCTGTAATCCAGCTACTAGGAGGTCACGAATTGTGGATATTTATATGCATGCACTGTGTATACGATACACCCTGGTGTGGATTAACGTCCACACTAGTGAATACTACGACTATCCGCAGTGCTATCCTGATAATTAGACCAATTCGTTAATACCAAGGCAAAAATGTGGTTCGGATTCCACTATAAATTATAGGTCCCTTAGTTGCCATTAGTTGTATGAGCTATTAATTAACAGCTGTGTCTAAGGAATATGTCGGCCTTAGTCACTAACAAGACTACAAGATTGCGCCACTCATCCTACACTCATCTCCATTCATACTTGGCTTAAAATACCTACTTTGTATGGTCACCATTTCATTAAAAAGTATTTAAGTATTAAAAAATATGTAACGCCAGTATTTTATTTTGCTCAGTAGCCACCTAACTACTATAGGTCGGCCGCTTAGAAAACGACCTCCTCCAGCATTGGTTTAGCATTAGCGCGCAGGTCGTTTTCTAAGCGGCCGAACTATAGTGGTGGAGGTAGTACAGTATGATTATGATGTTTCACATCTGAGTTATTGCTGTCATTAAGCCGTCTAAAACAGCAACCTTGTGTTAGTACTGACGTGGTACACATCACTCGTTTGGCTTTCCACTTCATGGAAACAACGTTCCAAAGGTTTTAGGATGGATATACATGTTTGAAAATGAAACAGATTCTTTTATTGTTGATTTTTAGTAAGTACTTTTATTTTATATGTTTACTAATTAATGAAAATATTTACATGTTGTAATTATATAGGCATGGGCGTTTCATTGTATGCGTAAATGTGTGCGTGTGTGTGTCTATGAATTGTGGATAAACAGTTAATATGGCTAATTCCTAATGTTTTTGATTCATTCATTGACTAAACAATTTATATCAGCTCAGTTTTTTTTATTTAGTATTCAATTGTTTTAAATATACAAATGTTTGACATTTTTCAGTCAATTTGCAAGGTTTGAATGTGGAAGCTTATGATTGGAGGACAAGTTATACAAAATGGAAGAATGCATTTAAATGGAGCAACCCTCTACTGACACCAAAGAGTGTATCAAAAGAAAATATCGAAGCGAAAATTCAATTACACCTTCTCGAGTAAGTATTGATATTTATTTATATATTGAATTATATGCTATAGAGAGTATTTTATAATATTATAATTTGTTATGAAAACAATACCCCCACCACAGCAAACCTGGCTAAACTAATTTAAATTTATCTGGTTGAATTTTTACACAAATCTTTTTTTACACATGACATATTTATTCACCTTTAAAATAACCAACCAGGTTGAACCACTGGTTAGGTTTAATTCTACAGGAAGGTAAATTATCGTGTTTTGTTGTCCAAATGATTATAGCATAGAATAAGACATTTTTTTCAAATTTAATCAATCCATAAACAATCTTAAAAATAGCAAAACCCAAGAGTTTTTTTTCATAAGAATAACAAGGAAATATAAATTCGCTTAAAGCAAACATAACGAAGATAAAATTTAGGTGAAACTAAAAAAAAGTTAGCTCTGTGATATTTTAGTCATTAAACTATGGAGATTGACAAAATATTGAGTGTATTACCGCTCTCAAAATTCATGGCTTCTACTCACAAATTTAAGTATGCACCAGCCACTTTCAGTATTATAATTGGAATATACTATTAAATGCAATATTTTGTGCAGATCACAAATTTAAGCAATGATACAGTATAGTTGTAATTTTCAAGAATAGAGAATTATAACATTCAAATATATTCTAGCAAACAGTGGGTGCCAGATGGAACCAATGCTGTTCAGAGTGATGATGTCATTCCCAAATACCGCGGCACAGTGAAAGATGCCTTCAAAATATTTACGTCTAAAGAACTACAACTAAAGTACCTCAGTAGCCCGTTAGCCGAGGCCAAGGAGCTGTTGAAAGAAGAAAATGGCTACAAAGTAGAACAAGAGTCTATCTTTATCATCCACACTGTCAACGGCTCTCCTAACGACGACTTTGTCAAGAACTCAATTACAGGTACTGTATATCATTGGTCTAAGAATACTCCACTGATTGTTACGGTGTTTTACAACATTTCAACTCGATCCTTAAGTTACTGAAAGATACAATACGATGAAGTCCTTTTACAAAGTTATTCATGGTTTCCATTAGGTAATATTGGTTATCGTTATTTTGAGTCTCAAAATCGGTACAATACTGAACTTTTTGTATTTTTGATGGAATTTTAAAACAAAACATGGCATGTGTCCATAGTGTCATTGTTTGTTTAATCAAAGACTCATTTCAACTTTCTATAATTTCACCGTGGGAAACTGTGCTGTCATTTAAATACCGGGTGTCCCAAAAAGAATGGATTAAAAGTAAACTAGTATAAAAATAATTATAAAAGATAAAAAGTGAATTTTAGCCTGGATACAATTTTTTCTTTCACTTCGAAATTTTTCCCCACCGTGTTTTCACCGCCTAACCTCTAAACTTTCTCCATTATTTGCTCGAAGAATGTCAAGTCAGAGTTCCAGCTGTGACTGCACATTGAAGGCGCATTTTATTAGATTTTTTCTAAAGGCCTCCCTTATCTATGCTTTAAGTACACCTATGTTTTATATCAGCGGTTAAGAGACATACTTGATCTTTCACGAACCCCCAGACCAAATGAATTACCCCACAGATTTTGGCTCTATAGACCATTCAATACACCGTGCTTTCAACTGCAACTCCGTATTGCAACTTATGTAGACAAGTTTATTGCAACTTTAACTGGGTTGAAATCCCGGGATATCACCAATGGATTATATCCAAGCGATAATGCCACAACCCCCAGATCTAGCCTGAAGTAATGTAAACCCCCGTCGCAGCAAACCTGACAACTAAGCGAATTTCCATTTGTCTGAATTGATTTTCAATTAAATATATTTAAATAACATTATAGGTCGAGTGCCTAGGTTTGCTGCTACAAAGAAACTAATAAAGTGTGTTTTTTAGTAAAATATTAATAGCTTAGTACAAAATAAATAAGTTTGCCAAGTTTGATCAAAATACATCCTTAAACAACCAAACTACAAAATTTTACAATATTCTCTATAAAAATAACATGGGAATTTTTAATTTAAAATTTTTTAAATTTTCTCCGTTACCAATAACCGTACAAAAGTACTTTTATTTTCTAAATCATTTGTTTTTTAAGCTCTTTAAAAAGGTATAAAGAGAAATTGGGAATCTTTGTGTTTTGAGGGTCAAAAGTGAGAAAACCCAATTTTTACCCCATAAAACCCCCCGTAAAGCCCTGTTCCCATGGTCCGATCATGCTGGTTCGCGAACTCATTTAAGTTTTTCCCGCTTTACACCTTTAAACCAAATTTCATCTGACAAAAAATACTCAAGTTATCGCGCGTTCACGGACACATATATATATATATATAAATCTATATATATATATATATATACATATATAAAAATTTGAACTAATGGTGTTTTTGGCCTCTGGGGACATCAAAATGAAAAAGTAAATCGCTCCCGGGCTTAGATCTTACCATGCCACCTACGGTAATAGCTATTTCCCTATAGGGAAATTCGCTAAAACGATCCCGGGCTCGTCCCTGGCGTCTTAGGACGAAAAATAGCAACTTAATTTTTTGAAAGATTAAACGTGCTAACAACAATAAACCAGCTGATTACTGCCGAAGGGTACAAAAAAAAACATTAATATGCCTTAAAATGCATTAAAATTAGCCATAGTTGTCTTTTCTATGACCCTTGAGAACACGAAGACTATGAGCGCGTTCTGGGAACATGCACCGGTGCACCGGTGTTGCCCCGGTTGACACTCTTTGGTGTCAGTAGAGGGTTGCTCCATTTAAATGCATTCTTCCATTTTGTAAAAAAAAATGTGTCGTTCTGGGAGACCGGTGAGTTAACCTAGCAGACAGCTATTTCCTCTTTTTCCTCCACCGGTGCAAGATTTATGCACCGGAGAAATTGTACGGTGCATTATACACCGGCGGCCTCTGATTGGTCAGTTTTTTTGACAACAGCTTGCAGCCACGGCAAGATGGCGGGTCCACCTAATAATGTTCATTAGTTTTATAGGTTATGTTGCGTAATGAGTGAATAATTTATTCTATGAGGGGGTTAAATTACGTATTAAGTGAATAATTTTCAAATAATTTATTCTGTGAGGACAAGTTTGTTTGGTTTAAATATTATAAAGTAAATAATAGGTGAATGTGTAAATTATAATCCGATGTGTACCGTAAACCGGTGAATAACCGTTCTGGGATACCAAGACTCTTGCTCCGGGGCGGTACCGGTGGCTAAGTCCATGTTCCCAGAACGCGCTCTATGTTAAGCTGATCCATTCTTTTTGGGATACGGTGTATTTGTTTAAAATTGGTACAAAAAAAGCTACCAATAACACGCAATGTTTAAAACATTTTTCTATTCGTTTAAGTAAATCTCCTCAATCAAATAGTCTATAAGGGTTTTTGAGTTTCATACCTAGACAATACAACACTTCCACCTCTTATTGATTTATTACATATTAAAATTGTTTTTATATTTAATGTTGCAGCTTTGGTATTGAGAAATTTCTTAAAGAAATATAATGTTTTTGCGTTTGATTTGAAAGAGTTGAATGACTATATAAAGCAGACAATCTTCGAAGTAATGTTGGGCCGAAGATTAAATTATGAGGTAAATATACTTTAATATACATAGGTTATTTATATTTGAATTTTATCTTACAAGATAATCTGAAGTGATAATGCCGTAACCCCTAGGTCTAGCCTGAAGTAATGTGAAAAACAATTCCGGGCTCGTGCCCAGCGTCCTAGAAAAAAAGTTATTTATATTTACAATTTTTAAATTTGTCATTGTTTGGATTAAATATTATTTCGTATAATACTAGCTTACCCATCGAGCGTTGTTGAAGTTTTATAGGATTATTAGGGAAAAAATAATATTGAGTAAGATCAAACAAATCGTACTTCCACCATAAATAACCGTTATTTGACGAATAGACTTTCGTTAAGGTTATTGCTATCAAATTCCAACACGAGGTAAAATTTAAGTTTAAAAACAACCAAAATCGTAAGATAAATAGTGAATAACCCTCTCTATACAATGACATAATCATGAACATTACTTTAATAGGAAGTACCAGGAGACCGAGCATTGTTCGTATTGAATTAAACAACAAACCTATTAGATAAGTTATTTAGCTAAATAATTAAAGATATTGTTATTATGTATGGTAATTTATTGATGTGAGGAAATTTTAGATGATACAAAGATTACTCAACACCCAAGACGTGGCTTCACCCTGACACTCCCTCAGACAACTTCAAAATACCAGGATACCGTTTGTTGCGCTCTGATCGCCACCACATTTCTGGCTTATTTGAGGAGGAAGCCAGAGGGGGCATTGCCTTATACATCAAGGAAGGAATTACGTATGACCAACATATTTTTCCAGCCAACCTTCCACCTGGAATAGAAACACTTTCTGTTGTCATAAGGCTAAAAAGCCAGAGACTGGGTCTGTATGTAGTATACAGGTCTCCAAACGGATGATACACTAGGGAACCTTGATTCTTTGATTTACTCCCTATTTGTTGACTTAGCAGTTGAAGTCGACTCTGTGATCTGTCTAGGTGACACAAACGTTGATCTCATGTCAAAAACAAGTAGTGATTCTAAATATTTATGCCAACTCTTGAAAGAATCAAATACAATCCAGTTAATTAATGAGCCTACGAGGGTGACAGCAACTGCAGCCACCTTGTTAGAGCACATAATCGTGGACAGGTCGGTTGAAGTCAAGAACCCTGGCGTTATAAATGCACCTAGATTATATTAGATCACAGAGGGAAGTCACTTATAGACCACAAGCTTATTTTTGTGAATTGGTCCTGAGAAAAGAAAAAAAAGATACCAAAGTTTATCAGATATAGTGATTTTTAAAATTCAATGTTGACCAAGCGGTAAGAGAACTTTCTGAAATAGATTGGAAAAAGATAACGATTTTACAAGGAGTAAATAATATTGAAAATGCGTTGACCAATGAAATAAGAACAGTATAACCACGCACCTATAGTGTGTAAAAGGGTAACCAAGGAAGTAGCTCCGTGGAGAAATGGTATGATTAAGAAATTGACGAGAGGAAAAAATAATTAAGGAATATATATTGGAAGTCAAGAAGCAATCTTGGTTGGCATAAGTATAAGGACATAAGAAACATATTGAATTTAATGGTCTGGCATGTGAAAAAAGGTTTTTTACCAACAAACTGTCGACAGCAAACAGCAAAGATTTCTGGAAATGTATAAAGAATAAGAACAATTGTATATACATTATTGACGGTTTTTAAGCTAATGATATTAATGAATATTTTACAAAAAGGGGTCTGGTATCAAGGCTGATGAAAAAATTATTACATTTTATATGACTAAAAACAAGATGAAACAAGAAACGAATTTAGATTTAGTGCTGTCAACGAAGCAACTGTAGAACTAGTGATGAATCAAATAAAGTCTAAAGCTGTAGGCGGTGATGAAATATCAATAAATATGTTAAAAGCTGTGAGTCCGTTTGCTATTGAAGCAATCACACATCTTGTAAATGAGTCACTCATCAGTGGAGTATTCCCGAATGCATGGAAGCAAAGTATTGTCAGGCCATTGCTAAAAACAGCTGAACCAACTATGGTAGAATATCTCGGACCAATTCTTCCAGTACTTCAAATACTTCCAGCAATATCTAAAATATTAGAGAAAATTTTGATTGACCAGATATCCCAATTTATGAATGACAATAGGTTGCTACCTAAACTACAGTCAGGTTTTTTTTTAAACCATAGTACATGTACAGCTTTGACAAATTTATTTTGTGACATGATTGATGCCAAGGACAAAGGGAAACATTGCTCACTTGTCATACTTGATTACTCCAAGGCATTTAATTCTACCATTCCAACCATAGTATGCTGATTGCCTAAATGAAATATATGGGTTTTAGTACTTCGCTCTTACCTTATCGACCAACTGCAGGTTACCAGATTGGGTGGTGAAACATCTGATCCCCTCGTCAAAAAACGGGGCGTTCCTCAAGGTACCTGTTTGGGGCTGTACTTTACACGCTTTACACAGCTGACTTTCCCAGCTGTGTAAAACGTTGTACTGCTTACTTGTGTGTGGATAATTCCACTTGTCTTATGAGCCTGGTTAGCTTGTCTTATGGAGTCGATCAGTCGACTCATGTTTTGTCGATCTTGTCGACAAGATCGACAAGATCAACACTGATCTGGATAACATCTCCAAATGGTCTAACATTAATGGGCTTAGGCTAAATCCAGACAAGTGCACTGTACTTCATACTGTCCCTGTGAACCTAGTACAAACACTAAGAGATAATGGCTGGAGCATCAATCTTCATGGCAGGAGTTTGGCGGTCTGTGACAAAGCCAAAACTCTTGGCGTCTGACAGAAATTTGAATTTTAAAGATCACATCACGCATGTCTCCCAACGAGCAATAGGAAGACTGAGAGGTCTGTACAGGTTCAGAGGTATGCTACCTGAGGCTGCAAAGCTTTAACTCATGCAGTCACTGATATTGTCAGTAGTCTACTACTGCTTCCCTGCATATGGCAATAGTAGGAAGACAAGTGCAGAATACAGCAAATTCAAAGCTCAGCAATCAGATTTGTATTCTTCCTTAAAAAATGTGATCATGTTTCCCCTTTCCGTGAAGCAGCCGGGATGTTACCCAGGGAAGCCTTGCGCAGGTTTTGACGTGCTGCATGACTCACAGTGTACTGACTCTCTGTGAGCCCGACTATCTTTGCGAGAGGCTTTCTGTCCGGGATGACATCATACAACGTAGGAAACGTCATGGTGGGAGGCTTCACTTTCTAAGGGTCACCTCAGAATTGGGAAAGATAAGTTTCTCATATTGTACCAAGATTGTATCAAGATCGGACCCACATTGTACATCGGACTACCCGAGAGCCTAAAGCCCGTTGCATCCAACAATACCTTTAAGATAAAGTTTAAAAAGTTTTTAAAAGATATAAATTTTTAGTTGTAAGTACAGTAGTTTAATGACAAAAGTTGTCCTGAAAAACTTATATGTATCAGAGAAACGCTGGCTAATAAAGACGCGTTTATATATTTATTTAAAGAAAACATTTTGATACAACTTTACAAATACATATATTGCTTTAAAATTACCTGTATCAGCTATTTTATTAACTACAGCTACAAAAAGGCATTGACGATAGTATGATCAATTTAAAGAGCAGTAAATCGGAAACTGGATATTTCCCAGCCTTGTGAAAAACTCCAATTGATTTCTCGTGGCCAAATGCCCCATGATAAAAAAAAAATTAAAATCCTCGGACGAAAATAACAGTTTGACGGTTTGTCCGTACATGCGCTTGTTTTAGATTATAGGATTAAAACAGGTAGCCCACTCAACGACGACCAAATAGGGAGGCTAAGAAAGCTCTTGCGGCCTTCTTTTTTCGATTTTTCATTAATAGCTTAAACAAATTTGGCAGAAAGTTTTTCATGTGTAAATATTATATACGTAAGATTGTCTATAAAAAGGTCTCATGCATATTTTTGCTAGGATTATTACTTATATTTAAGACTATATTTAGGGGAGAAATTAGGGGGAAAAGAATTGCAGAGCCGCTTGAGTAACTCACTTACTGGGGGATAAAAATTCTACTACCTCTGGATGTACTAGAGAATTGAAATTTGGCAGAGTCCTTGGTCTTGGACCTAAACCTCCTGTAACATAACAAGTCGTATATTCAAATGCCCCCCCCCCTAAAAAATGAAATTCCCTCCATGTTATTGTTTTGTATGCTGATTCAAACCCCTTAGAAACGAGTCTCAAATGTAAATGAAATGAAAACGATCAAGGCGTTGTGTAGAAAGTGATCTAAAATTTTCTGAAAAATCCAAAAGTGATATTTTAAAACATATACTCCCTTTAAAAATTTAATATCGTGGACAGCTAATAACGCCTTAATTTTGTTAATTCTATGAGCTCTAACAGGACAACAGCGTATCGTAGCTCATTTTTGACAATTTTCAACCTTTTTAATAGCTCATTTCTTTCTCTCTGGCACTAGTTGTCGGGTTATTGGCAAACATTTACACTTAAGGATTAGTAAATTGTTATTGTATCAAGGTTATAGAACGTTACTTTGAATATATTTTTCGATTTATTTAAGTGATTAAAAGCCCTGGAAACTAGAATTAGTATTTGAGGAAAAACCACGAACATTTAAAATTGATTCAGGGGCAGATTTAACAGTAATTCCCCCTGTCATAGTTGATCCAAGTAGGATCCAGCCGACTCTAGTTGAGTTTGAGTTATGACATAAAACAGTGCATCCACTTAATTCTTAGTAAAATAGTACACAATTTCTAAAAAAAGTAAATTTATCATGTCACTGAATTTTAAGACAGAAATACAGCTGTAACACAGACACTCGCCACTAACATCTGATTCCTACTGCACTAACTAAATGAATTCGTTTGTAGGAGTATTTTAATGTAAACCATTTGTATAAATTGTAATTTTTATTTTTCATTCAGATTTATAGCAGCACTTTAACCTGAAACTATCCGAAGCCAAGTATTGTCTTGGTCCTTGCTTTCTTGCTTAGTTGTTTTATATAACCATTCTGCAATTTTTCCTAAGACTGAATTCATGGTTAAGCAATAAGCAACTATAATAACATATGTTTAATATTGCAGGCATTAAGTGAAGTCCTTGGTAACTTTTTCAACTCTGCGATTGCCGACAATCTAATAGAAATCGACAAAATACATCTTGTTGGTTTTTGCTTCTCTGCTCAGCTCTCAGGCTATATAGGTCGCTATGTATCTTCGAAAAACGATGGCAAGAAGATGAAATCCATAACGGGTGGGTTAAAATATTTTTTTCGTGATTTCGCAATTTGCTTTGCCCTTCTTAAACTAGGAGAATTACTATGTATTCTTTAGGAAGATAAATTTAATTGTAAGATAATAATATAAAAGAAAAATTAAATAGATTAGTGTTGTTTGTTTTTGTTTGATCAGCAACAGCACCATGATTGACATTCAACTTATGATAAGGAAAGTATAGCCAATTAACTTAATTTGATTATTGTGTAAAATCTAAGGAGAATTTTCGGTGATAACATACATTTGTTCTTAACAATTGGCCTTCCTTAGTTACCCTTCGTATATTATCAACATTTCTGGCCATCTATATTTCCTATTTAACGTCAATCACAACCCTAGTACATTTTAAAGTCTTAGAACTAGAGTTAATAAGTACACGCATTTTATAACCGAATAAACAATTTTTTTATTACAACAATTATAACCTGTATGTATAAAAATTCAAACATTGAACATTTAATCATTGTTTCAATGATTAACACTTTTTATCAATGATAACACATCAGTTGAGTATAGAAATTTTAAAATATACTACAATGGAGCTGACATCGGAAGATGTCGTGGAACTATGGGAATATGATATCGTACTTATTCACATTAATGAAAACGGACCTTCTTCTTTTTGTTTTGTTCTGAAACATTTCTGAGTATTAAACTTATTAAGGTCACAACAGGACAGTACACCTGTTTTATACCTCATTGGTAACAATGTAAATTAACTCAAGCATTTTTTTAACACACCATGTTTTCCGCAGCTCTAGATCCATACTCAACGACGTTATTCAGCATTAAAAACAAAAACAGCGTGATCTCTAAGAACGATGCCGAGCTGGTATTTGTCTTCCACACCGGCTCATTTTACGGTGGTACATTTGATCGCAAGGCAACAGCTGATTTTGTAATAAACAATGGAGGGTTCCAGCCTGGGTGTTTCTTTAGTAAGTATTAGCATAGACTAAACAACACTAAGGAAGTATGTTTTATCTATGGTATTAGACGATAATTCAATTCATATTACAGCTTCAAAACTAATTTGTGATGTGACCCTTTTCCAGCCAATAAAAATCCACAGTACACAGTTCCACAGTTGTTGCTTGCTTTTTGTTCGTCGGTAATGTGTCAGTAAAACTGTGGGAACACCATAATATATCTTATGTCAAGATGCTCTGTTGTCAAAACGGTCTGAATGCATTATGTCACAGCTGGTGATGGGGGTGCCAAGGTGTGGGTGGACATCTTTTGCGCACCATGCCTAAGTTATATAGAATAGTTTTCCCTTTTTCCCATCGAGCCTAGAGGACCCCACCAGGTACCGTCTCTTTTGCGCTTATTGGCGGCATATTTTGTAAAATATTTGCACTATCATGTAAGAAGTTTGAATAGTCCAACATGGATATTTAAATGGGTCATAGTTATGTCTACCTGATGAAATGACGGTTCTATAGAAATGCTTTTTATAGAATATCGCACTCATATATTAACTAAACTTTTAAGTTATCGTAGTACTCATATGGAATATCGAACCTAAGCAATATATCAGACTTTTTTTTCTATGGTTGTATTTTTTCTACCAAACCTAAATGTTAAATTATGGAATAAACGAGTAAGAAATGGCAGGTATTGAAAGATTTCTTGTATTAGCAATTTTGAGTTTTTGTATGGCTCTTATTTTTTACTCAGTTGTCCGTCTAAATTCGGGTTTGTGGTACTGTGTAAGATCTTTAATTTAACATGCGTATCAAGCTCTGCTTACTTTTATGATTTTCCTCTGGAATCCTACCCTGCTACTCACTGTACTCTATTTTCATTTCAGACTATGTGATATAAGCTCATAATGTACCCAAAAACCAACCAAAATACATTTATTTCTCCTTAAACAACATATGAAAAGTAAATTTCGCAACTAACTTGTGACTTAAAAGAGTTTAAGTTACCTTTGTTTTAATCTGGCCAAATCTTCCACATATTTATTGTATATATACTCTTTTATAGGTCGCAAAATGTTTTGCAGTCATAAAAGGTCTGTCCCGTTATTCTGGTATATCATTTTATACCCTGAGTTGTGGACAGCGAGGAAGTGCAGCAGTTATCTTTTGTTCTCGTCCTGTCTCTGCAGTTTCAAGGAAAAGACTTCACTCACATTCCCACCAGTTCCTGGGTGAATAACTACGCTTTGTTTAACGTTATAATTATTGACTAGATATTGAGTAAAAGTCAGTCAAACAATAACAAGTAGGTACTCTTGGTTTGGGCTGTAACAGTCTTCAACCAGTACGTAAGGCTTTGGATTTTTGATCAAGTTTTGTAAGCATCATTAGATTCCTAAAGAGTATGAATAAGAAATTGTAGCATCAATCAGTAATAAAAGGAGTTATTTGGCACGTGTCCCCTACTGTAACCAATTTCTCTTGACAAAATAGTTTAAAAATTGATTTATGATTAAATTTAGTAATCATCATTGTAAGCAAGTTTATTCCTAAATAGTATGAACAAGAAAAGGTCAATCAGTATAATAAGGGTATGATATCAGTATGATATTTAGCAAGTGTCCCCTACCCTGACCGATTCTCTTGCTCTTGACCTGTTTCAGTGCACAAGGGACGTATTATTTGAACACCATGGCACACAAACCATACGGATTTGGACCAAAGGGTGCAAACTGCATCTCCTTCTTTAAGGGGAAGAAAGCCGATGATATAGTAAAAAGTGTTAAACTAGCCAACCTAAATGTTTAGTGAATCCATAGAAATCACCAACTTCAGTTATAAAATGTGCCATTAAATTGTACACTTATAACAAAAAGGTATTTTCATGTTAATCCTTAATCTTAATTTAAAATATGTTTATAGCTAATGCTTCACAAAAGCGTAGTCTACTATTTCAGTTAATCTTTTGATATTTGAAAAGCAACTTCGTTATAACATTTCTTAGTACAAAAATGCTTTACAATGACATGAAGTCGAGTGCGGAAATACCATACAAGTACGGTAAACACATTTTGAACGAGTGGCGTAAGATATTTATCACCATACTACTCTAAACTAACCTAACAATAAAACAAACAACTTACAAATCCGTTATATATTCCTAACGACTAAATCACTTTCACTACTCATAGCTTCTAAGAGAGGCTAATTCGTTTTATCACGACTTCTTGCAAATTATAATCAGCTGGTGTCTAGTAAAAGTTATGTATGTAATGAAGCCCCATTTGATTATACCAGCAAACAGCTGTTTTCCGGACAAAATGAATGCGTGGAAGTTCATACAACGAAACCGGACACATTTAATTTTTTCGTTGCACGCAAACGGCAAACAGTGTAGTGTGGGGGGGGGAATTATTACCTTACAGTAATACGCAATGAAATCCTACTTAGTTAAGCAGCTGTTTTCCGGACCAAATCCTTGCGTGGATAGTCTATTAAGACTTTAAAAGGGAGAATGACGAAGTTGGACAACGATAAACGCGGACAACGCTAAAAACTTCATTACAAAAGGCAATGGTGTCCTTAAAGAACCATTTATGTTAATGAACTAAATTTCACCATTCAATGACAAACTGTCGATGTAAGAAATTACTAGACATAATAGAAACCACCTAAGCATTAATTATTTAAATAATGATAAAGTTTTTGTTTTAATTATTGAATTTGAAACCAATTACCAACTGATAAAACAACGGAATAAATATATTTTCGAAGTTATTATTGTGCAAGGATCTTCATTAAAACGTAACAACGGGAACGATTGTCAAATTGATCTCGTTATCCAGTTCTTATTTTACCCGTGAAACAAAGAGAACACAGTTGTTATGCTTTAAACTACGTATATTTTTATGTTTCCTTGTTTTTCCCACCGAACCTAATTTAATTTATTTAATCTACCTTTTTATAACATTTTATTTTGATGTAGCTCAAACAAAAATGTGTCATGATTATAAGGTGTGAGGTTTCTGTAATGACGAAAGCAGTACATTTAGTTAAATATCAAAATTAAAAAAGTATAGCAATGCCATACTATACAAAATAACAAAAAAACAAAAATTATATTTGCAAAAGGAAGTTTGATATATTTTGTTTATTAATATTACTTTTCAATTTTAAGGAGTACAGTAATAGGGAACTGCCATTGGGTTTTAATTTAATTTTATTTAATAACAGTTCAACGTTACATAATACCAGGACCAGGGCATAGAGAATTCCGTTAAAAATATCATTAATTTTAAAGACGTATAAAATAAATAAGGATAAAAGCGACAATAGCTATGATCACTTCAGTTATAACTAAAAATATAACATAAAATATAATGTCAGTTATAACGAAAAAGGTTTTAAGCAGCTATACTACTCATTTTAGGTAACAAAGTAACACACTTGTAATATTTTGTAGAAATGAAAAATTTACACTGAGCTATTTATAATTAAGCACGTGTTTGAACGTGTTCATTTTTTAGCCCTGCACTACTGATTATATTTTATACCTTGGACTTCATATAAGTAATAAATCGAAGGGGATCATACATGGGATGCATGTGTTTACAATAACCTCTACCCCTCTAGTAGCTGGCTGCTCTTGTACTTTCTATTCGGTGAAACTAGTATAAAACTACGGGCCTAAAGCATGGGTCTAAATTCTAAATTGCTAAACCTCCCTAAAATTAACCTGTATTCAAGCAAATTAAAATATAAAAAAATATAGTAAACATCCTTATAACAGTTGTTTAAACATTACATTAACTAACACAGTCTTACTTTCTCTTGATTTACGTTATTCTATCTTATGTGATGTATCAGCAGCAATAGTGAGACCAGCTGAAACACATAAATGTAGCAATGCAGCAGGATTGCCGCAATAACAATAACACTTACAGCAACGCCCTGACCACCTCTGTCTACAGAATTGCTGTCTTTGCTGGATATTTTCCTTCATCTTGAGTGATATATCAGCAGCAATAGTGAGACCAGCTGAAACACATAAATGTAGCAATGCAGCAGGATTGCCGCAATAACAATAACACTTACAGCAACGCCCTGACCACCTCTGTCTGCAGAATTGCTGTCTTTGCTGGATATTTTCTTTCATCTTGCGTGATATATCAGCAGCAATAGTGAGACCAGCTGAAACACATAAATGTAGCAATGCAGCAGGATTGCCGCAATAACAATAACACTTGCAGCAACGCCCTGACCACCTCTGTCTGCAGAATTGCTGTCTTTGCTGGATATATTTCCTACTGTGTGAAAGGAAACTTTCACCAATCAAATTCAATTCCCATTAAGGTTGCATTCGTATTATGTGCTCTACGAAATTCAAAAACGACATTTTTGCGAATTAATTTTACTAAAAGGTTAAATATTTGTTTGGCTTCCTAGAAATCCCTTGCAATGAAGGTTTGATACTAAAAGCTGCTGAATAGTCTCATAACGATGGTTGTAAAGACAAATACAATCCTAACAGTGAACATTAGTGTAATTGTCTGTAAATGTTTCTGCTTTGTTCATGTTTTTTTCACACTAAAACCAGCAATGCTATAAACGTGCTGAAGCCTTTTAATTGGGGCATTCACCTAGCGAATAAAAATGTATATAATGACTCCCCAAATATTTATATTTTAGTTGATGAAACTTTTAGACTAGAATTTTGTCCTACAACATTCTTAGCGTGTCTGTCGGGTCCTGCTTGATGTGTTTAAGGTATCCTGAATTTTACTTTATAATATTTTTTCTTAGCTTAATTTAAAACTCAAGACAACGTACTGTTTATTACTATTTATTAAAAACAAACTGTTTCTAAAATATGTAGACCAATAAATGCTAAACATCGATAATAATTGTAAATTAAAAATATATTACAAACTGTTTATTACTGAGATCAAATGCATTTCAACGGTAACATTTTTGAAAAAAAAACATGATCAATGTATATGCTGTAGTATACGTTAGAATTATTGTAGAAAATGTGCTAAGAAATAACAGTTATTTTCTGTACCATGAATTTCAGCTGCCATTCTTGGTGGAAAAAAAATATTGCCACTTTCATCCAAGCTGCTTTACACTAAACATAGCTCAAGAAACTTAATGAAACTTGGTAAAGAACTTAATAAAACAACTTCGCGCTAAATTCATATAATGAAATAATTGCAATCGTACTCACTTTTACGAATGATAAATATGAATAGGTATACGCTTAAACGAAACATTAAATACACTTTTAAATAATTGAATGCCAATGTTAGTGAACTATTAACGTACATTGATGCTATTAACTCGAAGTCCGTTTCGTTTTATAATTGGTATTACTGCACCAGTCGGAATTCCTTATCTATAATATAAAAGGCCGAGTTAAATCACTAAGCCAACACTGTGCAAATTCCGCAACGATTTGTCTGGGCGAGTATTTGTCTATTGGGAACATTCTTAAACGATTGTAGATAGAAATAGATTTACATTAATGTTCTATTATTTTTAATGTCTAGTCATAAACTTTAAGACAATGTGCTTAGATATAAGATTATATTGTAAAATCTAAATCATATTTTAATATGTGATAAAATTCGTAAAATACAATTCTAAACACTGGCGTGGTTTTAGGTTTGTTTTGCTTTGGTGCACGTACGTCGACTTAAGTTTTTTTTCTTCTATTTTATGTTTTTTTGCGAGAACAATCGGTTTGCTCTTTGTCAATAATACCGTATGAAAAGCAGTGGTATACAGAAGAATATTTGTATATGGTCATTTACCATAGTTTCTTAAATATAATAGAAAATATCAAAATAGTTCAACATAGAATTCCTAAATATATAATAAATATAAATGATAGCTATTCATGAGGGCAAAAAATATTAACTTGGTATTGTCTTTAGCTATGTCATGTGGATGGTTAATCTACATTACAGAAGATGATTGCTCCATTGTAATATGTTTCAAAAGTTTTTTAACTACAGGATACAAATATCGTATACATTTCCGCTCATCTTAAAGGGAATCCTAAACTAAACTAATTAATTTTAACCCCAGAAGAATTTAAAATATTATTGCCAAAGTTAGATTACATTTTCACTACATTAAAGCAATGATCTGTGTTTTAAATGTTAAAACCTGTTATATTTGTATCAATCAAGAAACCCTTACTCATGATTAGGGAAACGTGGTATTGAACAACCACAAAGTGTTGAAATATATAGGACAAAAAATATACTATTTGCAAGAGTAGCCTGACTCGGTTCTATTTGTTGTAGTTAATATAAAAGTTAATAATTGTGGTTAATAAGATTCAGATGACATCTACTAGCAAGTAGATATAGAGACATTTATAATTATTTATTTATAGGTTTACATAAAGGCATATTACTATTATACAGTGAGGGCTTTGCCTTTTATATATATAGATAGGTAATAAGAAAACTGTGTAGTTTAATAAGTTTTAAGTAAACAATTGATTTAATGTTGTATAAAAGTATCTGTATCAACTTTTTCGTAAATACAAATCTCAATCACTAGGTTGATGAACAATGGAACTACAGTTTCTGTTAAAATAGTGCCAATAAACTTGTCAGTGTTCAGTGCCTTAACGACATCGTTCGTCTCAATCTTGGCCAATCTTCTTTTGCAATTTCTACAAAGTTCTTACAGTTATCATTCAGGAGTGGACCATTATTTTGGTAAATAAAACGTAAAATTCGATAATTTTTTAATCAACATGGATTGCACTTTTCGGCCAAAAAAAGATGTAACCCTCGCAGATATTATTTATAAAAAGTGCACTCAGACTAATGTAGTTAAC